CTATTCTATTCTATTCTATTCTATTCTATTCTATTCTATTCCATTCCATTTCATTCCATTCCATTCCATTCCATTCCATTCCATTCTATTCTTTCCTGATTCTATTCTATTCTATTCTATTCTATTCTATTCTATTCTATTCTATTCTATTCTATTCTATTCTATTCTATTCTGTTCTGTTCTGTTCTGTTCTGTTCTATTCTATTCCATTTCATTCTATTCTATTCTATTCCTGATTCTATTCCTGATTCTATTCTATTCTATTCTATTCTATTCTATTCTATTCTATTCTATTCCATTCCATTCCATTCCATTCCATTCCATTCCATCCTCCTCCTCCTCCTCCTCCTCCTCCTCCTCCTCCTTCTCCTCCTCCGAACGATTTATCCTCCAGTCTCCTAATTTAGTTAAACTATTCCCTATTTTTGACAATTATGAGGGAGTCCCATAGCCAACCTAATCTTTCTCCTAGGGAACTGGGACTCTATCCCAAGGACTTGATTCTCATAAATTTTCTTGAAAGGTAAAGCCAGCATGAGAACATGACATCCATCCTGTTTTCGTGGTTGATTTAGATTTCAAATTGCTTCCTCCTTCGACTCTACAGACTTCAGCACGGTGGTTTAGGATGTGCTGTGAACTGAAGAAACTTCTTGGACAAGAAGCAAAAGGTTTTCAAGGAAAAAACAAGAAAGTCTAGTTGCTTCTTGAAAAAAGCACCTTTGGGACAACCATGACCTGGATGATTGAGTAGACAAAGGTCTCCGTAGACATTTAGGATGTGTCATTTTGCGAGACTTTTCCTAAAACTTCGATTTCCCTTAATTCAAATAGCCTTTTGCTGCACACAGAGACTTACAAAGTCCTTTCGTTGTCCTGGGCAGCCAACCCACCACAAAAGACACAAGAAGTTTCCCCCACAAAAATAAAAACAGGATTCCTTGAAAGGAAGGGAAAAATATTTCATTTGCGCTTAATTGGATTGATAAGCAGAATTAACAGAAAATCAATGAAAGAAGCCGCAGAGGAATAACGCACTTACCCTTCAACCAAGAAAGGAGGATTATCCAGGTTAAACTTCCCTTAAAAAGGACCATTGTCGCTTGCCAAAGAAAGTGTGTGTGTTTGTGTGTGTGTGTGAGTGAGCGAGCGAGTGCATCGGTGTGTGCACGAGCAATGAGGGGGAGAGAGGCAGTTTATAAAAGAACAAACTGTACTGCAAAAGAGAAACTTGGTGAGGTTACTTTCATGCCCCAAACTGGCAGCGCTTTAAGAAAAAGAAAAAAAAAAAGTTAGAAAGCAAAATGCACACATAATTTAGGAAAACAAAATGGCTTTTTCCCGTGGAATAACAAGAAGAGAAAGTGGGGAAGAGTCCCATCCGAAAAAAGGGACTGGTGCTATGGGAGGCAGGGAGAGCTGTGTGTGTGTGTGTTGGCGTCCTTGGTACTAACTCAGCTTGTTGGGTTTTATTTGGGGTGGTTTCATGGGCCAACTAGAGAACATCATTAGTGCCAGAAGGGAGTGGGTTTTGCAGGGAAGAGGAGGAGGGGGAATCTTTGGTACTCTCTGAGTTTGGTAGTTTGCTTGCAGACGTTTCATTACCCAAATAGGTAACATCATCAGTGCTAGAAGGGAGTGAGGTGGAGGAGGAGGAAGAGGACTGTGAGGTCCTGAGTGCTCTCTGATTTAGGTGGTTTGCTTGCAGACATTTCATTACCCAACTAGGTAACTTTATCAGTGCTAGAAGGGAATGGGGTTTGCTCTCTGTTTATATACTAATGGTTATCCTATCCTGTTGGTGCAAATGTTGTTGTTGGTTCCTTGATTAGGCTGTTTGATTGTTTGTCTGAGTTGATAAATTGACTGGGATATTGTTTACTTGATTGGAGGAGGAGGAGGAGGAGGAGGAGGAGGAGGAGGAGGAGGAGGACTGTGAGGTCCTAAGTAATCTCTGAGCTATGTGGTTTGCTTGCAGACATTTCATTACCTAACTAGGTAACATCATCAGTACTAGAATAGAGTGGGGAGGAGGTAGTAATGGTGGAGGAGGAAGAGGAGGAGGAGGAGGAGGAGGAGGGGGAGGGGGAGGAGGAGGAGGAGGAGGAGGAGGAGGAGGAAGATGGGGACTGTGGGGTCCCTGATGTTCTCTGAGCTTACTTGTTTCCTTGCAGACTTTTCATTACCCAACTACATAACATCATCAGTACTAGAATAGAGTAGGGAGGAGGAGGTGGTGGAGGACGAGGAGGACGAGGAGGAGGAGGAGAACAACTGTTGGGTCTTTGATCCTTTGAGCTTGGCATTTTTCTTGCAAACATTTCATTCCAAACCAGGTAACCTCATCCGTCATGTCCGGCTGGGGAATTCTGGGAATTGAAGTCCACATCTCCTGAAGTTGCTAAACTTGTGAAACACTGCCAGATCTCACCGGCAGAGACCTTGGAGCTATTTCTGCCTTCCACCGCCCGCTTCCAGGACACCCTCCCTCTAAAATGTCTTTTTCGCCCTTCCTCCTCCCCTCCCCCCCAGTTATTTCAATGGCCAGGGCTATCCTGGCACATGTCCAGCTGGGCTACAGGATTTCATAAGTATCAGCTGATCAGCTGAGCTGGACAGAGCCGCAGGCGAGCGGACGCTGGCTTTGGCCCGAGACGGAAGGGCCGAATAATTGCAAAAGAAATCCTACTGCCAAGGACCAGGATTCCTAAATTAGGTCGTCCAAGGTAAACAACATTTGTATTCTGAGGTGGTTGTTGTTTGTATCCTCCGAGTAGAAGATGGAGCCAAGTGGTTCTGCATGTCTACTTAGAAGCCTCGGAGCTACCCTTGAGAGCCCGGTTCTGTTTGTAATTAATAATAATAATAATAATAATAATAATAATAATAATAATAATAATAATAATAATAATAATAATAATAATAATAAATAATTGGATTAAACTTATCAAACTACAGGTCATCCTCAACCTATGGCTGTCAGCTTTGGAAGCCATATTGAGACCAGACACTTCCAAACTGAGGCAGATATTTCTCTCTCCGAGCACAACGAGAATGCATCTGCTGCGAACTCCTTATTGGCGACTGGAAGGGCATCTGGCCAGTAAACACTCAGCTTATTTTAGTTGCCTGAACTTCGCCCCGCAAGGGATTATGGGGTCGTTAAATGGGGGGATTAAATTGAATTGTTAAATTGTCCTGGGGTGAGTGGCCATGGAGAGTTGGCTGCAGGAAGTCGTCCCGTTTCATCTGGAGCCAGGAGAGGAGCAGCCTGGGCTTCCATAGAGACCCCGTCAGCCCTGTCAGCTTTGGAAGCCATATTGACACCAGAGGCTTCCACACTGCCACATTCTTGAGCCTGGGAAAATGGGAGGGGGGGATTTCTTAGAGTGTATGTAATTAGACATAATAACATTCTTTTTTTCTAATTCAAGGTCATGTTATTTCTGCACCTGGGTGAGAGGGCGTCTCAAGTTGGGACGGATGGTGATTGGGGCATGTTGATGCGATGATGGGCACAGGGGGTGGATTTGTAGTTTTTTACTTATTGTAAGGAAATCCGGAACTTTCCGATTCGGGATTCCCCAGATGTGCCAGTTTACTACCCAAATAAAACAGAACTTTTGAGAAGATGCCTGTCTCGGAGTTATTGGCTGGAGTGGAGTTCCCCTTCTATTCCCTCATCTAAGTCATTAATGAAGATATTGAAGAGTCCTGGGCTTAAGACGGTTTGCCAGCCAGTTGCGAGTCCATCTAGTGGTGGTGCTATCTATTCCACTTTTTTCTAGCTTACTAAGAAGTGGGTTGTGGTCTACTTTGTCGAATGCCTTGCTGAAATCTAAATATATTATGTCCACAGTATTTTGCTGGTCTACTAATTTAGTCACTGTGTTGAAGAATGAAATAAGATTCGTTCTTACCAAACCCGTGCTGACTGCTCGTTATTACTTTACTTGTTTCTAGATGTTGGCAGATCTGTTTTTTTATTATCTTTTCCAGTATCTTCCCGGGTATTGATGTTAGGCTGATTGGTCTATAGTTTCCTGGGTCTGTTTTTTTTTCTTCCTTTTTTGAAGATGGGAACCACATCAGCTCTTTTCCAGTCCTCTGGTAGTTCCCCGGTGCTCCAGGATTTTTGAAAGATATGGTGCAGTGGTTCTGAGATGACCTCTGCCAGCTCCTTTGAAACTCTGGGATGTAATCCATCAGGCCCCGGTGATTTGTTTTCATCCAGATCAGACAGGTATTCTGTCTGATTCTGCAGTTCTTAAGTTAGTCACACGATCGTTAAGTGAATCTGGCTTCCCTGTGGACTTGGCTGGTCAGAAGGTCACAGAAGGGGCTCATGGGACCCACTGTCATAACTACGAGTCGCTTGCCAAAGTGGTCTGAATTTGGATAATGTGACCCTGGGGAAGGCTGCAATGTCACTTTTTTCAGTGCTGTTGTAACTTCGAATGGTCACTAAATGAACTGTCGTAAGTCAAGGACTACCTGTATAAAATACAAATGAAAGGGGGGAAATGAGGAAGGGAAAAGGGGAGAGAGAGAGAGAGAGAGAGAAGGGGAAAAAAGAAAGGAAAGCACTGTTTTTAGTGCAGTAGAATAAAAGTGGTACAATTTTTTACTTGTAAGTGCTTGATAGATGTCGTCCCCTCCCTTCTTGCCTTCTCAAATGCAAAAGGGGAAACCTTTCTCCTTTGTTTTGCTTCGAGTTTGTTTTAATAGATCTCCGCTAGCAAAAATGTGTCCCGTTTTTGCTGGCAGAGGCACCACAGGCCAAGCCAGGCTGACTCTGCGGGCCAGATCTAAACACCCCACGAGCCAGATCTGTCCCGTGGGCCTTGAGTTTGACCCTCCTGCCCCACTTTAAGTGCTTAATGTGGACTAGCTGTACCTGTCACAAGAAACTCATCTAAACAGCAAGACCCAATGTCAACATTTCATTTTTCTTTTCCTCTCAGGCGCAACATCCAGACTGAGTCACCAGTTCTTCCGAAATGCAGACTCGGCCCGTCCATCGTCGAGGGAAAGGCGGACAGCTGCAGAAGGAGCAGGAACCCGGTCAGATGCCTCCAGCATCCTCACCGTTCCGTCGTGTGGCGTGTCCCTTGTTCATCGTGGGCTTACTTCTAATAGCGGTAGCATTTGGGTGTTCCTGTGTCTTTCTCTTCCAGGCGACAGAGAGAATGGAGATGGAAAAGTTGGAATTGCAAAAGGATGGCTTCACCATCAAGAACGGGGATGGAGACGTCCTCTTCAGGTTGACCTTTCGATCCGGTGCCCTGGATCTGGAGTCTTGCTCCCAGGACACAGCCACGTTGGCTTGTTCCAGGACAGATAAAAGAAAGATCCGTTTCCTGATCAGAGCAATTCAACCGAAGAGGACCGTGAGCTGCTACTCCATCACCTGGGAAGAGTTTCTAGCGGACACGACGGTGGACCACAAAATGTTCTGGGGAGATGCCTCCTGGTATGGAGGCTATGAGATGAGTGTCCAGCATTGGCCGATCAAGCTTCCAGGATACCAGGAACCCATGCCGTATGTGACCAGCGACGTCTATTCTTTTCGGAACAACTTCGGAGGTGTCCTGGAGAGATATTGGTTGTCCTCCAAAGCAGTAGCTATCAAGATCAACGACTCGGTTCCTTTCCACCTCGGCTTCAACGCCACGGAACCCTCTCTTGTTTTCCAAGCCAAGTACAAAGATTCTCCCTATGGTTCCTTGCTGGAGAATCAAGCTTTCCCAAGGTTATGTTACCATATCTGCACGGCTCCAGACATGACTTCCACTCATAAATACATGTCGCAGAATTATTTCAGGAGACCTTCTAAAGTTCCTTCAGAACAGATGTTCAGGTTTCCTGTCTGGTCCACCTGGGCCCTTTACAAAAAGGAGATCGATCAAAAGAAAATTCAGGAATTCGCCCGAATGATCCTGAAACACGGATTTAAAGCCAGCCATATTGAAATCGACGATATGTACACGCAGAATTACGGTGACTTTGACTTCGACGTCTTGAAGTTTCCTCGTGCAGAAGAGATGTTTGAAAAGCTCAAGAAGGACGGGTTTAATGTTACGGTGTGGATCCACCCGTTTGTCCACGAGAAATCACCAAACTTTAAGGAAGGAATCGAGAAACGTTTTTTTGTCATGCAACGAAACGAGACATCCCCTGCCATGGTGAAATGGTGGAATGGAATTGGCGCCATTTTGGATTTCACTAACCCTTCAGTCAGAGATTGGTTTCACAGCCACTTAAAGGAACTTGGCTTAAAATATGGCATATCCTCCTTCAAGTTTGATGCTGGGGAGACATGCTACCTTCCCAAAGGGTTCACCACCTTCTTCCAACCTCTTCTGGACCCCAGCACCTGGTCCAAGTATTATGCAGAAATGGCCAGCCCCTTTTATGAACTTGCAGAAGTTCGCGTGGGTTACCAGACCCAGCACATCTCGTGTTTCATTCGTATTATTGACAGGGATTCAATTTGGGGATACGAGCTTGGGCTAAAATCCATAATTCCCACAGTCCTAAGTATTGGCCTTCTGGGATACCATTTCATCCTACCGGATATGATCGGTGGAAATTTTATTCCAGATAAAACTGACGGCGCTATGGAAATCCCGGACCGGGAACTCTACATCCATTGGCTGGAGTTATCCGCCTTCATGCCCTCCATGCAGTTCTCCATCCCGCCTTGGCTCTACGATAAGGAGGTCATCGAAATCGCCCTGAAGTTCACCAAGCTTCACGAGTCCTTGGTGGCCCCTCTCTTGCTGGAACTGGCCGGGGAGATCACGACCACAGGGGATCCCATCATACGGCCTATCTGGTGGATCGCTCCTGGGGATGAATCTGCCCACAAGATCGATTCCCAGTTTCTCATCGGAGACACCTTGATGGTGGCTCCGGTCTTGGAGATGGGGAAACAGGAACGAGACATCTACATCCCGGCGGGCAAATGGCGGAGTTATAAAGGAGAGTTGTTTGAGAAGACTCCCACTTTGATCACAGACTACCCCGTGGATCTGGATGAGGTGGCTTATTTCTTTTCAGTTTCTTAAATCTCTCCAGGCCAAACTTTCCCAAAGGTGCTTTTTCAGGAGGCAACTGGACTTTCTCATTTTTCTTTGAAGACATTTTGCTTTGAAGACATTTCGAAGACAAGAAGCTTCTTCAGCTCTGACTGGATGGAGGGGAAGGGAAGGATTTATATTCCCTGCAGGCAGCTGGTCATTTGCATCCTTTTAGAGAGCCACCGAGGCCACTTGGAGGTTTATCTGTGTCTTCAGGGTCACCTGAGTAGTGCAAATGGTTCCTGTAAGTCTGCAGTTTTTCCTCTGGAAATCCATTCCTACTCCTCCACCATTTGAAAGGTCTTAATCCCAAATTGTATAGCTAAAAGTCTGTAGAGATTCTCAGCCATCCAGGTCCTGGTTGTCCCAAAGGGACTTTTTCAGGAGGCAACTGGACTTCCTTCCTTCCATTCCCCACCATCCAGTCAGAGCTGAAGAAGCTTCTTGGATGAGAAGTGAAATGTCTTCAAAAGAAAAACCAGAAAGTCCAGTTGCCTCCTGAAAAAAAGAACCTTTGAGACAACCTGAATAACTGAGAATCTGTAGGGAGTTTTTTTCCAGGCCAAAATAGATTGAAATTCTCTTAAGAATCATGCAATTGGAAGAGGGCCTATCATTCAATCTTCAGCTGACACGGACTTAAATCAAAATGTTTATTTTTAGACGAAGGATTATATTTTTTTGCTCACAATTATTTTTCTTAACGCATGGCAAATGCGCTCTTTTGTGTGCCTTTTCACTCTGATGAACCTTCACCGCTTACAAGCTGTTTGTCTCAGCTGCCTATGACAGGGAAGAATTGTTATCTTGGCACAGCAGACGGGACAATCAAGACCAGGGTGACTAATCAGTCAATAGGTAACAAGGAGAGAAGGACCAATGAATGTCACGAGCACCTTCATCTCAACTTCTTCTTCGGGAATATTATGGGTTTTTTTCCCCCAGGGAGGCATTTAGGTCTAGGTATAACATCATCAGGCTAAAAGGAAGGGGTGTTTGCTCTCTGTTTATATACCAGTGGCTTGCCCTGTAAGGGTTGGAGGGAGGGTGGGTAAGTACTTCCTGTTTATGCAGTTGTTAACTGCTTGGTTGATCTGGTATTAAGATAGATATAGGACAGATAGATAGAAGAGATAGAAGAGATAGATAGATAGATAGATAGATGATAGATAGATAGATAGATAGATAGATAGATAGATAGATAGATAGATAGATAAGGTTAGGTTAGGTTAGGTTAGGTTAGGTTAGATTAGATTAGGATAGATAGATAGATAGATAGATAGATAGATAGATAGATAGATAGATAAGGTTAGGTTAGGTTAGGTTAGATATAGATAGATAGATAGATAGATAGATAGATAGATAGATAGATAGATAGATAGATAAATATAAATAGCTAGCTAGATAGCTAGCTATAGCTATAGATAGATATAGAGATATAAAGAGATAGCTATAGAGATAGCTATAGCTATAGATGTAGCTAGCTATAGATATATAGATTGATCAATCGATTGATCGATAGAGATGGATAGATAGATATAGATATAAGAGATATAGATATAAATGGATAGAGATAGATAGAGATCGATAGAGATAGATGGATAGATAGATAGAGATGGATAGATATAGATATAAGAGATATAGATAGATATAGATATAGGTAGCTAGATAGAGATTGAGATAGATGAGAGAGAGAGAGAGAGAGAGAGAGAGAGAGAGAGAGATGATGATGGATGGAGAGATGGATGGAGAGAGATGAGATTGGTATATAGGTATAGATGAGAGAGAGAGAGAGAGGATAGAAAGAGATAGAATAGAGATTGAGATATAGAGATAGAAAGATACAAGAGAGATCATCGATAGGTAGATTGAGAGAGGTGAAAGATGATAGATGATGGATGGAGAGAGACAGAGATGAGATTGTTATATAGGTAGATGAGAGAGAGAGAGAGAGAGATGCTAGAAAGATAGAGATAGAGGTATGAGATAGAGAGATGGTAGATGAGAAAGAGAGATAGACAAAAGGATATAAACAATTGACAGAAACAGACACAGACAGACAGACAAACGATGGATAGATAGAGATAAAAAGATGATTGATTGATAGATAGATAGCAGTAGAAGCAAATATTTGTAGCTCGGGGTTGAACTATAGGATCCTTGGTGCTCTCTGAGCTTGTTCTTGTACTGGAGATGTTTCATGACCCAACTAGGGAACATCATCAGTGCTCAAATGGAGGAGGGTTAGGAGGAGGAGGAGGAGGAGATCTGTGAGGTCATTGGTGCTCTCTGAGCTTCATTGTTTTCTTGCAGATGTTTCATCACATGATATCAATTGAGGTGCCATCATATAGATGAAAAAGAAGACCTTTTGATGATGCTCGAAGTTTGAACCATTATCTTACAATATTTCAGGCACCAGCTCAATTATATTACTGTAATGGATATTTATTGCATGACTACTTTTCCATTGTTTGTATGATTGTTCACTTTATCGTTTTATTGGGATTTTCCTTTTTTATATATATGCACCTTCACCCTATCCATGTGAATGGAACCAGATCAGCAATTTAGAAAAATAGCATTCAAACAATAAATATGAAACATCCCAAAGAAAGGTTTTGGGATGTAGCTTATATTTCAAGAGACAGAGCATTTTTTTTTTTTTTTTTGGTTCCAGGCTTCTGAATTTTTTACTTTCCATGAGAACATAGAAGAGAATGTGGAATTGATAATAACAGATAATCAGAGTTGGAAGGGACCATGAAGGTCATCTAGTCCAACCCCCCACCCAAGCAGGAGACCCTGCACCATTTCTGACAAATGGCAGTCCAATCTCCTCTTGAAGGTCTCAAGTGATGGCGCTCCCACAACTTCCGAGGGCAACTTCTGTTCCATGTGTGGGAAGTGTATTCATTTTATGACTCAAAGCTCAAGATGAAAAAGGGAGGTTTTCCTTTTGAAGTGAGAAAAGGCAGTACCAAGCACTGATTAGAACTGATCTTGGAATGTTTTTGAAGTGCTGGGAACTATCACACATTTTGGAATGCCTTTGAAATGCTAGATACCGGATAAAGAAGTGTCTGTTACGAGCTAGGCACCATGAAAGATAATAAAATGCAACTTGTATTCGTTCCTCCCACCTGCCAGGGCAGGAACCCTGTTATGTATGGAGAATAAGGGAGACCAGACATCTGACCAGTGACTTCAACTCTTTAATAAAGTGATAGAACATAACAGAGCAATGCTATGGGCAGCAGTAACCCTTTTATAGGGTTAGCTGCTGCCTTATTAACCAATGAAAATGTGCAACAAGTTCAAACTACTGACCAATAAGGACAGTCCCAAAAGTGGCCAATCAGGGACTGGTTCTGGCCCAATCCCAAGTTGTTGTATAAGGACCAATCAAGTGTGCAGGTTTTCAACCCCTACTTTGCATTTAGGTTATTCACTTTTATTGATTCACAACAAACCCGTTTCTGCAGAAATGTTACAATAAAACCTTTTTCCTTGGATCAACTTTGAATCCTGGTGGTTTTTCTTAGCCACAATCTCACACATGGGTTGATTGTTCTCACTGTCAAAATTACATTTGCGGTTCCAAGAACAGATTGAACACAAAACTAAAATGTGAAGAGAGACAGGAATCGTGTTTTCCCATCTGGAAATCTGGTTTCCAACTGTACAATGTATTAAAAATATGAAGTAATATTTTAACTGAGAGATTATTCTCATAGGAACCATCAACTCGGGTCCACACCTTACAATCTCTTCTAAAATGGATGTGTTATGTATTCAACCATCTGCAAAATTTTGGGGGAGAAATAGAATATAATGCTTAGGCTGTTCACACAATATTCACACAATATTCAAGGCTACACTAAAATGCCTTCATGTGTTTGAAATCTTGTTGTCTAAAGCAGCCTATCAGTGAAGACTTTATGTATTGATTTGTCACAAAAAATGGTGTGAACACTGCCATTGTGGTTTTAACTTGGTCACAATACAGATTGTCCTTGACGGGTTGCTTGACAGAATAACAGAGTTGGAAGGGACCTTGGAGGTCTTCTAGTCCCACCCCTTGTTTAAGCAGGAGACCCTATCCTATTTCAGACAAACGGTTGACCAATCTCTTCTTGAAAACTTCCAGTGATGAAGCATCCACAACTTCTGATGGCAAGTTTAATTGTTCTGTCAGGAAATTTCTCCTTAGTTCTAAGTTGCTTCTCTCCTTAATTAGTTTCCATCTATTGCTTCTTGTCCTGCCTTCAGGTGCTTGGAGAATAGGTTGACCCCCATCTTTTTTGGGGCAACCCCTCAGATTCTGAAAGACTGCTATCATGTGCCCCCTAGTCCAGTGGTGCCTAAACTTTTTGGGCTCCTGTGGTAAAAATTGTGCATGTGCTTGCAGAAGGCAATGCACATCCCCTATGCCCCTACGCATGCGTGCGCAATCCCCCCCACCCTTATCCTCCCCACCGCCCCTTACCTGCACTGCACCTCACAGCTGATTTTCAGGTTTGAGGCTTCCAGAGGCTTGAGGGAGGCTTCTGCAGGCTTTGCAGGGCGAAAACTAGGCCCGTTTTGTCACTTCTGGTATTTCCGGAAAAACAGGAAGTGACAAAACGGGCCTAGTTTTTGGCCTGCAAAGCCTGCAGAAGCCTTTCTCGAGCCTTTGGGAGGTCTAAAATCAGCTGTGAGGCGCGCACATGCGCAGGGAAGCAAGTTTGCCCGCAGCTCATGTGCCAGCACAAATTGCTCTGCGTGCCACCTGCGGCATGTGTCATAGGTTCGCTATCACAGCCCTAGTCCTTCTTTTCTCCAGACTAGCCAAACCCGAATCCTGCAACCGCTCTTCACGTGTTTTAGCCTCCAGCCCCCTAATCATCCTGGTTGCTCTTCTCTGCACTCTTTCTAGAGTCTCAACATCTTTTTTTACATCGTGGCGATCAAAAGTGAATGCAGTCTTCCAAGTGTGTGGCCTTACC